TCAAGCAAGCAACAGCCCTTCTTTGCTTCGCCCTTCGTCATTTTTATCACCTTGCGATTCGCCAAGACAATGTCTGTAAACGATCACGGAATGTGCGAGACTGAAAATTACTGGCCCTTCAACAGCCATCTTTGATCCCATTTTCAGCCGATAATCTTATACATGGAAACTACGGATACAGGAACAGCTGGAATGACCGGCATCCGTCAAGTGGCCCGAGGGCATAAATAAACTACTTAACTCCATAGGTCTCTATAGTCACCAATATCAACAAGACTATTAAAACAATAACCCTGCCAGACAAAGGCGACAACGGTCTGCGGAGATTTTAATTATCGTGTTGTCATCTATAGTATTACTAAGTTCAGTATAGTATGTTACGATAGCCGAAGGCCAGGGAAAATGCTTAAACCTTTTAGAGTCTCTCGGTTTATTCATGAAAGAAGAAGAACGCGAAAATGAGATGGGAATTAATTCACGAAAGGGCAAGAGTTCATTTAGCAAGTTTCATCCTGTCTGGACCGTGCGCGCCGCGTGCACGTGGACGTTCACGTGCCGAATGTATTGAAGACAATTTTTTTATGGAACATATTATTTCCAGTCTCGTGAGTCCAATTCCGTTATAAAACGCGGTATCGCACTTCTCGCTTTAGGATTTGTCTGGTTAGATATTATTATTTTTTTTTTGCTTCTAGGATATCTCTAAATACCACACAGGCCGGATAACTGCCTTATACGGTTAACCGAGGCTGCCGCTTTACTGCTACATTGCTCAAGCTATTTTAGGACTCACTGTACTAAAAGGTGTAAATGAACCATTTCGAATTTTAAATTAGTTCAGTGGAAATAATCCAGAGAAGGGCCAAAGACCAGTAAATTAGTTAGTTGCCTAAACATGGTTCCTTTAAATAGGCTTATATGCGTAACTCCAAAACGTATGTGGTTTTTAAGCCGTTTTTGTGGAAATAGGGTATAGATTTTAGTCTGGAACAGGGTTGGTTATGTGTGTGCACTCTGACCTAGAATGAGAATTTTCCTTGCAGTAAACTTATGTAATCTCGGCTATTTACACGCAAACCTCTTCCAGACATATGCCTCGCAGTTTTTTCGATCAGACACAAATTCCTTACGATAGCTTCCTCTGAAAATATGGGCGTCATGTGGAGAAGTTCAAGCATAGAATTTTCCACGAATAAGAATGTTTAACGAAAAGATTTGAGTTGCCCACAATGGCTGGTCTCTCAAGGATAATTTGCCTTGCAGATTTATGTTACACAACTATTGTTTCGCAATCGCGTTCTTTTCATGAGTTTTAGCGCAAACTTAATTTTAAAGCTGAAAAGAGCTTCTTCTGAAACATTTGCAGAAGAGGTTGTAAAACGAACTTTCAATTGGTTTAAACGCGTGCGGGCCTATATCATGTTTTAGCAGCAACCAAAAAATTTCTCTTAATCGTTTATACAAACATCGTGGAGTTAAACCTAAGAGTTTGAAATTTATCAGTCATCTCCTGTCTTTGTATGCCATAGCGAAGCTTAGGAAATAAAGATAAGTTAAACTTACAACTTGTGCAAACTTACCTCCTTCGTGCCGTGTCGTCTTGTCTAACATGTAACAGTACCAGTAGTTTAATGTTAAGGAAAATTGAGGTAGGAAGTGGTTAACCACAAGGGGTAGTCCAAATATATATCATTTGAAGACATATAGATTACCTTAAATTCCTTAAACTTGTAGATGAGGTAGAGAGGATGATTTCGCCTCAACCAATCCTTCATGGCTTCAAATATGGAGAGAGTAAAAGGCAATTGACTTTCAAATATACTCTGTGGCGAAGACTTAATCTGTAATGTGCACGGTTTTGAAGGAGCAGGCCCTTGATCCGCTGTTCAGTATGTGTAGAATGTCCTTAGTCTAAAACCTCCAGGGCAAGACAAGCACTCATACAAGCAGGTTAAGTTGGCGTCTTTGCATGTGAAGCTCCTCTTGTATAACTAAGCTCCTAGGGAGTACTTGCATATAAATGGTAAATTTATACAAGGGTCAAATCTACGGACCCGAGACAGATTATCATTGGCCATGCAGTCGTCGCGGACAGTTGGAGCGCAGTTGGAGTGGAAACCAATTTTAGGTCAGTTTTGCATATGCAAGCCATTTCCGGCTGAAGACAAATTGTTTTATAGTCTTTAAATTAAGTCGTCTACTTAAACTGCGAAATTTCACGAAAAGATTAGGTACACGTTCACGGCATGTCCCTTTATAAGCAAAAGTCAGTTCGAGCGAGCATAATGAGCAAACTAAACAACGATAGTGGCGTACTAAGATTAATTTGTTGTCTTTGTTTACTGAGCTTACTTAATCCAATTTTCATGAGCGAAGAAAGCATATTTTTTGAACTTTTCCGTTCTGGTGACAGATGCCAAATTTATATTGAACTGAATTATCGGATCTGATCAAAGACCCTGTTAACGTGGCTTGACCCCATCAGCAGCTTTCTTGAAATAATTATAATGCAGGGTACTTAACAAAGTTATATAACAGGGAAGGCCCTACCCTGAGGTCCAAAGGCTTGCCATTTTAATTTGAATACCCATTTTTGATGGCAAAAGGTGACTCTTTCGTATCAAGAGAAGATCCCTTGATCCTCTCTTGTTTCATATAAGCTTCGCTGTGGCTACATGCCCGGCAGTCAGAAAATTTCACCGAATTTCCACAATCACACGCTACCTCCTTTTTCAACCACCTTGGACAGCACATCCCCTTAAAATCATAAATGACAGAGCCTCGGACAAATTTTTTCCAGATAGTTCAGTGAAAGGGTCTTTTAACTAGCAAAACGGCAGCTTTGTAAAAGTTTAGCTCGTGAAGTCCCTACCGTTCTATATACTCCTCAAGTGCCTTTGAGTGAAATCCTTTCCAAAGACCAGGCTCAAGGTAGGCAGAGAAATCTGCAGAACGAATTGAAATACTCAAATAGACCTTGAAAAGTTTGTTCCTATCAGCCAGATTATACAAGAGATTTACTTTACTTTACTTTAGATCCCATATTAAACATGTTCACTTTATAAGACCATGGAGCGACAGTATCGAATTTCCATCAGTATAGAATTCTTCGGGTCGAAGTTCGCGGGAAGAATTTTTGCGCGCGAAAAGCAACGTCCTTTCCACCTCTCCCAATTCTAAGGAAAAAGCCCAAGGGACCCGTTTCTCGAAGGTCCCAAAAAGTTTTCGCACCCGAAAAGCCGTTCTCTTCATACAAGAAGTTTCAGGCGTATACACCTCCTTGTCTTTAAATACCGATTAACTAAAAATGGCTTTGCGGGCCCGAGAAGTTTCCGGGACTTTCGAGAAACGGGCCCTGGGAACGAGGACTTCGCGATTTTCGTAGGTCGATTGCCGATCGACGACTTCGAAAGTTTATTGATTTGTTCCGACGAGCCGCGGGGAGTACGATGTGATTGGTGCTTTCCTGAACATATGCACGCCAACTTTAATTTCCAGCAGGAGACACACCTTTCTAGCCGTGTGACCATAGCGAAAATTGTCTTTGGGCTGGAGAAAATATTTGTTCGTCTTCACAACGCTCCAACCGGTGGCCGAAGTGGATCTGTGAAGAGTCCCCAGCCCTCCTCTCTTCCCGCTTAAGTTCCTACGTTGTTACTTTTCTCATATTTGCATTACAATGTAATCCAACGTGCTGGGCACAAAATTGCACGAAATTTCCTCACATACCAGATTTTATTTTTCTCTCAAGCATCTGAGCGGGCCGGAATCCTAAATCCTCGAATTTGATTGGTTAATCATATGCACGTGACCGGTCCAGCTTTTTACGATACGGCCCACCGGATTTTTTCCCGCTGCCTAAATTTCGCTCTTAAAAGTTAGCGGTAATCGTCAATCTTTTACCTCTTTTACACATCCATCGACGATTAGTCAACGCAAGTTTGTCTCTGTTCACTCTAAAATGGCAAGGAAAGTCACTGTAAGTAAATTCAGGTGAGTGTTTTGAAGTTGTGAGAGTTTGCTTAATTGTTTGTAGCTTGGCGCTGTATAATGGCGCGTAATCCTGTGTTTCTTTCGCCGTAAAATTTGAGTCAATTTCAGTCGAGTTTACCTCTCTGATCGTTGCTGTATTAAGAAGAATTTCTCTGGAATACACTTAACGAATTTCCTCGCTTTCTACCATTCAATTTACGGTAGAAAAGTGACAAAGTGATTTTAAAAGCAACGACTGACAGAGCTTYTTTTTGTAGTAAAACTTCAAACTTCGCACGAAATTTCACACCGCAAAAACAATTTTGGAGAACTTAACTGGTGAAATAAATGTAACTAACACAAAGTAGCTCGAAAAAAATCTGTTTTTTTAATACATGTACATCTTTCTTTGTCTACTATCTGAGTTACTCGCTCGTTGACAAGATTTTTTACAAATCGTTAGTAGACGGCGCGCAAGCCGATTCAATGACAAGAGCTGCGTAAACCCATTTGTAATCTGTAAAACCAATTTACTGCAGGAAAAAAAAAATAAACATGTTATTTGCCGGCTTAGGGTCGGTCCGTATGGTGAAAAACTGTGACCTCGGGCTTGAAAATGCTGCCCTCGGCCTGCGGCCGAGGGCAGTATTTTCAAGACCTCGGTCACAGTTTTTCACCATACGGACCTCCCAGCCGGCAAATAACATATATATATATTGAAATGCAAACGAGAAAATTTATAAACCGTTAATAGGGCTATTGAACGACTTTACAAAATCAAAATAAGATTAAAAAGTTCGCTGGCTAAAAAATTTCAAAAAAGAACGTGAGATTTCGGCTGTCAATCGTCAGCCTTCGACGGATAAAAAATGGAATGTAAAATGATAAAGTATATGAAATACGTTGGCAGACCAAATGTATCTGGCCAGTTAGAGCGTGACTTACTTTTAGCGTGACAATGGTTTGGACAAATGTTGCAACCAAAAATGAACACGTGTACAAATATTGTGCGTGTGATCATAAATATTGTTTCCATCGGAGCCTTTGTTTCGCGAGCCATTCAGTGTTTTCTCGGAAATGTTTGTCAAAGGGCTGGAAATTTCTCGGAAAACGAATGATGTCATACTGAGTAGAATTTCGCTTAGCGAAGCATTTTTGTTCAACCCTTGGATGACTCCGAAGTTCGCTCGATCTTCGAAGGAAATATTGATGTTTCATGGAATGAGAAGGTGAAAAAGGCAAGAATCTTAACCCCTGTGGCTTGATAATATTCCAGACTGCCGATCGCCGATCATAGGCGTAATTTTAACATTTTTTATACGATCTTGGTTCAAGATTTCCGCGTTACGTTGATTGTATCGGAACTCGTAAAAGTACGGCCGTCTCTTCGGAACATCGTTCAGGATAGAATAAAGCGGCAATTATGGCAGAAGAGGAAAGTGAAACAATCATCGAAAGGGAAACCGAGCAAGAACAGGAAGAAAAATTTTTGGCGCGGCCTTATCAAGTAGAGCTATTGGAACGAGCCAAGGAAAGAAACACAATCGTTTGTTTGGGCACGGGAACTGGAAAGACGTTTATCAGCGTAATGCTCATAAAAGAACTTGCTCACGAAGTTAGAGGAACATACAAGAAAGGGGGGAAAAGAACCTTTTTCCTTGTAAATACAGGTACGAGACTTTTGTTTATGTTTGAGCAAAATTAATGTTCGGGGGGTTATGTTTAATGTAGGGGGAGTCGGTAAGGGCGTTTTTGCACACAACAATGCCGGTTTTTGTGGGAGCGGACTTTATGTCGGAGCTTAGATTTATGGTACATAAGCAAAGTGAAAAAAATAAAAATTCAAAGTACAACTTCAAACCCGGATCGATTGGCTTATTGATTGACTGGTACCTAACTCTTGTACTTAGACCTCGATTGGGTCATCCAGGATATAACATGTCATTCTCAGTACCTTTGGGTCCCGGCGTACAGAAAAGAATCGCGCGCGACGTTATCTATATCCCACGTTTATTTCATTTTGAGCTATTTGTTTGTCTAAGTCTTCTTTGACGCCGATTTCTGTCATTGGAAGAACAAACTCACCAGCCTTTTCAGAAGTCGAAAATAAATATTAAGTTAGCCTTTATCTATTTGTTTTTGTTTTCAGTTCCTCTTGCTAGCCAGCAAGCCAAGGCGATTGAGAAGCACACTGACCTGAAGGTAAAGCATTATGTTGGAGAGATGGGAGTGGATTTCTGGGACAAACCTACATGGGAAAGAGAGTTTAACGAAAGCAATGTGCTAGTCATGACTGCACAGATATTTGTCGACCTCCTGTGCCACGGTTATGTCCGTCTGTCTCAAGTGAATCTATTGATCTTTGATGAATGCCACCATGCTAAGAAAAATGATCCATACAAGCAAATAATGCAGTTCTTTGATTGCTGCCGGAGAGAGGCACACCCCAAGGTGATGGGCTTAACTGCATCCATAGTGAATGGAAAAGTAAAACCGTACAAAATTGAATCAGAAATAAGAGAACTGGAAAAAACCCTGAGGTCAACATGTGAAACAAGTCATGATGAAGATGTTGAGAAATTTGCCGCTAAACCCAAGGAAGAAGTTTTAACTTTCTCAAATCGAGCTGTTGACGATGACACAAACTTATTGATAACAATCCTAACGGATGTTTTGCGACCAGGCATTGATTTTCTTGGTGACTGTCGAGTGTCCGCCAGAGATGTCTTGGTGAAGAATGCACATTGGTATGCGAAGTTTGCTCTCAGGGAATGCCAAGACACCTTACAAGAACTGGGTCCTTGGGCTGCTTGCCAAGTGGCAGGATACCTAATCAAGGACCTAGGTATAGTACCCCTCGCATGGAGAGACTTTTAGCTTGGAAACCCCATGCCTCCAGAAATTCCACTTTTGGTTCAAACTCTCCTTTAAAAATTTTTGGTCCTTGAGACCCTCCTTCCACTTGAAATTTTGAAAAACCCTTTTTAGGGTGGACATGGATATTTTCTGACACCACACATTGGTAAATAATGCAAGGACCTAAAATATTCATGACCTTGCCCCCTACCACCTGTTGGTGCACTAAAGTGCCTGCCTTTGCTCCAGTTCCCTTAACAACGAGTTGTTTTTACTTTAGACTCTCTACCCCACTATCATGTAATGGTAAAGGTTAAGTCTTTATACAAGCCAAGTGGCCTATCAGGCCAGAGCTTATCCCGGTTTCAGTAGCATGAAGCGACTAAGAATATTTCTATTCCCCCACCCAGATGGGATGCAAGTCCATCGCAGTTTATCTCCAGCATTAAATTCGCTGGTACCCATTTGTAAACCTGGGTAGAGAGAGGTATTGTGAGAGTAAAGTGTCTTGCCCAAGAAAACAACGCAATGTCCCCGACCAGGGCTTCAACCTGGACCGCTCGATCTGGAGTTGAGTACATTAACCATGAGGCCACCATGCTTAGTCAAGAGTAATACCTGTTTGTTAAGAAGTATGCAGTGGTATTAAAATTCATGTTTTACATTCCTATGATATATATTTCAGGTTAAGGCACAGTAGCCTCATGGTTAGTTTGCTTGACTCCAGATAGAGTGGTCCAGGTTCAAGCCCCAATCTGGGACATTGTGTTGTGTTCTTGGGCAAGACACTTTACTCTCACAGGGCCTCTCTCCATCCAGCTGTATAAATGGGTACCAGAGAATTTTCTGTGGTTAACCCTGTGATGGACTAGCATCCCATCCAGGGGGAAGCAGAAAATTCTCCTAGTTGTTTCATGCTACAGAAATCGGAGATGAGTGCCAGCCTGATGGGTCATTTGTATGCAGTAGACCTGTTTCAAAATAACTAACCATTTCGGTATATGGGTACACTTTTACTAGAAAGGTTGTATATTTGATTTGCACTTGTACACAAGGGCTTGAGACCAACTAAGGAGTAAATTTTTTTCAGACAGAGCATGCATGTTTCAAGATAGCCAACAGGGACGGATGTTTTGTGAGTTTAGTGCCTCCCAGCTGCGTCAACTACAAGGCGTCTATCGCAATTTTACATCTACCAGCTGCAGTGATGACTGTGAAGACAATGGACGATGCTACATCATGCCCAAGCTTCAGAAGCTTTTGAGTGTCTTAAGAGAGTCCAAGTATTCACTATCTAAAGGTGAGAAATAAACTTTAAGTTAACTCAGGGTTCAATTTTTTTCAATTTTAATTCAAAATTTTTAGACAAATTAAATTACTTTCTATAGTATCGTGGTTGTAAAATGACATAGGTCAACTTCAACCTTTGATTGAAAACTTCTGGGGTGGGAGGTACTCCCATAAATTTCAGATACGTGTGGGCAACGAAGGGCCTTAAACCCTGGCCATATTTAAGGATGAAGCAAATTGATACCCAAAACAAATGAATTGATACCCGAAAATGACACCCTGTTTAAGAGAAAAACAAAAACTACCAGTAAGAATGGGGTGAATGGATCAGCTCTATTTCTTTTCTGTGACATTTGAAGTTAAGCATCAAGAATAGACTTTGTTTTTCATTAAGCTGGGCATTCATGCACTGGAATTTTAGCTGATACTGACAGCTTACTATAGGTACCCTATCTAAGGATTACGCCAGGAACACAATGCCAACAGGAGCAAAAATGATACCCTATTTAAGGATCCCGAGCCTCCAAAACCATACCCTGTCCCATATGGCACATGACTATATACCCTTTATCTGGGAGCCCTCTGCCCCCCTCCCCGACTGTAGCTATAACTAAGAGCCATTCAGAAACAAGAAATAATTGTTAACATCATTCCCTGAAAAGCGTTTTTGTATAGTACACTTATTATGTTGTAGACTCTGGTGAAGAGAATACGCTCTGTGGCATTGTGTTTGTGGAAAGACGCTACACAGCCCTAGTGCTTAGCAGACAGATTAACATTGCTGCCAAACTAGACCCTGAGCTAACATCCATCAAAAGCGATTTTGTGATTGGTCATGGAACAGGAGGGAAAGTCAACTACTCCAGTCACACTGAAATGAATTTCAAGAAACAGGAAGAGGTGCTCAGAAAGTTCAGAAGACGTGAATTTAATCTGCTGATAGCCACCTCTGTCGTCGAGGAGGGTCTGGACATTCCCAAGTGTAATGTAGTTTGCCGTTTTGATTTCCCGAAGAATTTTCGTTCCTATGTTCAGTCTAAAGGCAGAGCTCGTGCGAAAGATTCTAGATACTATATGCTGGTAGATGAAAAGTTGAAGATGGAAGCAATAGGTGAATTGGAGGTAATAAGTTATAATTTAACTAGCCTGCTTAGCAAGCATTCCAGCACAAATTAGAATTTCGGCAGATTGGCTTCTTCTCCCCTCCTCCTATTTTAGGCACTGAGACACCTCAAACTGCACCCACAATGCGGAAACACTTGCGACGCAGGCCATTATAATTAAGAATACGTTCTAATTTTTGTCTATATTATTTTGCAAACTACTGTTAGTCTCAGGTAGTTAGACTAAATGATAAATGATTAATATGAGGCAAGTTTTTTGATTTAGATTACTAGCTAATACTAAGAGAAAGTATTACTCACTGGCTGCATAGCTTTACACCCCAGGAGTACCCTAGGAGTACAGTTTCTATGAGAAATTTACTATTGTGTAATCAATTCTCCATTTCTCATTTGTACGCAGGGTAAGAGAGGCAATGCAATAGCAGTCTCTTCAGTTGCCAAAAAATGATTTTTTTGCTGATTAAATTGAATTTTATCCCTTTATTTGCTGAGCATTTACAATTTTTTTCCAAACTTTCTTCTTCAGATGCTGCGAGAAATTGAAAATACCTTGTTGAGAATGTGTCATGATCGGACTGAACCAACAGATGAGGAATGTAACGAGGCAGTGGACACGGACTTCTTACCTGCGTACATACCTTTGAAGGGGGGAGGAGCCCGGGTTACCATGAGTAGCAGCATTTCTCTCTTATCCAGGTAGGATTCAGGGGAGGAAAAAAATGGAAATCCAGTTGCCCAGTGGGCCAGTACATTTTAGTTTTCAGTTGCCCCCACTAAAAATGAAATATTACTTCCCCAATAGGCATGCAAGGGACACAAGCAAAGTATAACTGGATCAGTTTTAAATTAATCCATGCTGCGTTGAACTCAGCGTCTTGCTCATCTTGCAGTCATGAGTTTTTACTGAGACTAATTTCACCTGCCCACTGGACCACTAAGCTTCCATTTTCACTTGCCCAAGAGCAAAATGTTTAAATATTAACTTTCCCTGGGCAATTGGACCTGGGTTTTTTTCCTGCCCTGGGATTGACGATTTCTTGGTCTTGGTCATCATGTTGTCATTTCTTGTAGAAAGTCTTTTCTAGTCCTTTTTAGGTTTAATGAGCCAGATGGCTTCTGAGTATTGAAGCTTAACTCCACAGCTGGCACTATTGCTACTACCTGCTCAAATGTGGGAAACATGGGTTATCCCGAGCAGGGAAGAATATTTAGTGCCGTCTTGCCCACTTGGGTAGCCAATCACAACACACCTGAGTTGATTCATCTTGTCCACTCAAGGAATTAGCTTTAGAGTAATAATTGGTACTGGCAAATTTATTGCTGGGGGTAACCTTACAATGAGCTGGCATCCCATCCAGGGGGGAGTTAGTCGGTTAGTTGCTTAATGCTGCAGAAACCAGAGTAAGCTCAGGTGGCTGGGACCCTCTGACCCTGAATGTTTATTAACTTCACAAGTTCACAATTATGATTAGTAAATAAAATTAAGTTCCTCCTGCATCATTGTGCTAGCAGTACAAAAATAGAGTTTTAAAGACAATATGATATTAAGTATAATGGGAAATCTAAAACCATCCAAAATATAATTGAATAACATTTAGGCAAAATGTTTCCACCACTTACCCCCTTTGTTTCCATTGTATGTCTTCAGATATTGTTCCAAGCTTCCAGGGGACCAGTTTACCCGTCCCAAACCTGTATACACAGTGGAGGAATGTGGAAAAGATTATTACACTTGCAAGCTACAATTGCCCATTAACTGCCAGCTACGTGAAACCATCTTGGTATGTTGTAAAGGTCTTTGTCTTTTTCTTTGCACCATGAAAGCAATTGAAAAAGGCACAGCTGTTTTCATTTTAACTTGCAATTTTATTGTGGATTCTGTTTTTTCACTAGCCTCCCTGGTAAT